CGGAGACTAAATGTAAGTAATTGTTAAATTCGTTATAACTCATGTAATCTAAAAATAAATAACCCTTTCAGCTTTGAGCTTACTTGCACCACAAAAAGCGAGATTAACAAGGAGAGGAAAAGTTTAGGAAATAAGTAAAAGTAGAGGTATGAGACAATCAATAACTTTTAATCTTTTGTAGGTATTGTTTTCCCCTGAGTTTAAGATGAAATTTAGATGAATCTACAGCTGTTCTTAATAACGCTTTGAAAACGTGTACCAATCAACTAGTTGAGCAAAAGTTTGTATCTTTGAAAAACTTGAACAGCTGGTATAATTTGGATCTTTTCCGTCTTAAACAGAAAAGAGACAAATGGTACAAAAAGTTTTGAAGATCAAATAATGACAATCATTGGAATAGGTACACAATCGCGCGTAATAAGTATTCGATTAAGAAAACTCGTTGTGAATATGTTCAGAGGAAGATTGATCAGCATCAAAACAACAGCAAAGAGTTATGGAAAATTTTGAAATCTCTAAGTTATTCTTAGTAATTGAAAACCGCAGTCCATAACTTTTAATAGCACATTATAACAGTCAGAGCAAGTAATTGCAGCTAAGTTTAATGCATATTTCGTAGACAGCGTTTCATTGATTAATCAATCCATTGAATTGGTCGATGAACCCGACGAAATAAAACAGCCAGTTAATAGTAGTTGTAGATTTGAAGTTTTTCACCCCATCACATTAGATGAACTTAGAGTTATTTGTTTTTCATTAGGAAAATCGGCTGGAGTAGATAATGTTAATGCTAGAGTTATTCAAGATTGCTGTCATGTCATTGGTCACATCTTGCTGGACCTTATTAATGAATCATTGCAAACTGGACATGTGCCACAAATTTGGAAGGAATCCTTGGTGGTTCCTATTCAAAAAGTTGCTGGAACGATTAAAGCCGAAGAGTTTCGTCCCATCAACATGTTGCACACATTAGAGAAAATGTTAGAACTTGTTGTTAAAGGCCAGCTGTTGGAGTATTTAAATAGTAATAATTTGTTGATACCAGAACAATCGGGTTATCGGGAAGATCATTCTTGTGAAAACGCGTTGAATTTGGTATAAGCGAAGTGGAAAAATAACTTGGAGTGTAAAGATACGATTGTTGCTGTTTTTTTTTTGGATTTTAAACGCGCTTTTGAAATAATTTCTAGGCCCTTATTGTTAAGATCAATCAAGCGCTTTGGAAATACGAGTACTGCATATACATGGTTTGAAAGCTATTTGTCTGACAGAACTCAACGAACTGTTTTTAATGATTCTGTTTCCAGTCCCGTGAGGAATAACCTTGGAGTGCCCCAGGGAAGTGTATTAGGGCCCCTGTTATTTATTATGTATATTGATGACTTGCGACGTGTTTTACGATTTTGTGATATTAATTTTTTTGCAGATGATACTGTGTTATTCAATGCATCTAAGGATTTAGATGATGCCGTTTTACACTTGAATGAAGATTTGGGTTCTCTAAGTAGATTGTTGAAGTATAAGCAGTTGAAATTGAATACAAGTAAAACTAAATTAATGGTAATTTCGCGGAAAAGAGTAAATGAGAACGTCTCTGTTGTAATTGATGATGAGACTATTGATCGCGTTCGCGAGATTAAATATCTTGGCGTGATTATTGATGACAAACTTAAGTTCAACTCTCACATTGACAATGTCATCAAGAAAATTGCCCAGAAGTATGGAATTCTATGTCGACTGAAAAATACAGCTATACAAATCAATCATCTCTCCTCACCTAGACTTTTGCCCTTCCATTTTATTTCTGGCCAATGCAACACAAATATCGAGATTACAGCGCTTGCAGAATAAAATAATGCGTTTGATTTTGAGATGTAATAGATTCACTTCCTCAACTTTGATGCTAGACGCCTTACAATGGTTGTCGGTGAAGCAAAGAATTGTATATTTGACTATGGTGTTCATTTTTAAAGTAGTTAACGGTTTGCTGCCTCGATATTTGTGTGATCGAATTGAAAAAGGAAGTGACTTTCATAGGTTTAATACTAGAAACGCAGTGGAAATAAGAACACCACATTTCTTGACTTGTGCTTCACAGAATTCATTATATTATGAAGGAATAAATGGTTTCAATTCGATGCCTAGACATATCAAACGTTCAGCAACACTTACAGAATTTAAAAGACACTGCATTTCACACGTTTAAACTGTCTTTTGAACAGTTATCCAGTGTTTTTTTTTATGAATTGACAAATCATGTATCTTGACGAAGTTATCTCTAACGGATTATTTTATATGGATAGCTGTCATAACGACTTTTTTAATAATTATTGTAGCTCTGCAAAAACTTTTTCTGTTCGCCACGAGGGTAATGATGGATTTTTAATATTTGATTTAATAGTAGATTAATTAAAAAAAAAGTCTACAAAGGTTTGAGCCTCGTGCGCGTATTACGGATATAGAGGACTGAATTTAACATTTGATAAAAAAAAAAAATGCAATTTTGAAGCTTATTTGAAAGATACCTTGAGTTAGTAGTAAGTTTTCTGGCAAATGTTGGGGGTTCGTGAGCATTCCTGACATTGCTGAAAATTATGATAGCATCAGATTGCGGGGTTACTAGTGTAATAGAATGCTTTGTTGATTGTTCATTAACTCTTGATTGCTTGTAATACTTATGAATATTTTAGGTGGACAAAAAGGCGAACTAAGAGGTGGACGCCTGAGCTTTTCCACATTTATATTGCTGTGAAGCAACTGTAAACTCTAGGAATTTATATCTGTAACTGAAACTAGTTCGATTTTGTTTGCTAAGCTGGTTAAAATGTCATATTTAATTATCTTAAAGATAAATCGTCCAGCTCAAACCTTTTTAGGGATAATAGGTGGAAACAATACACACGAAATCCAGTGTTCAAGCTGCCAACATAAGCTAGTCCTTCTGCTGTATTGTCAAAGATAGAAGCAAAATTTATTCAAATGCGTCAAGTCTTGAAAACTTAGCTGTCACGCAGTTCCAGCTTGATACCCAATAAAAAAAAATTGCTTTTGCCATGTCAGTTTCTTACCAAATGAGTTCAAATTTTTTAAGGCTAATCAGGACACGATTTGGAACCACATGAGAATTGTAAAGCGAGAATTAAACATTTTGCATCAGTCTACTGCCCACCTGTTCGTATCTTTGAGACGATTATTAAGCATCCACAAGAGCTTATAATTCACCCACTCAATCCAAGCTAATATTCATTTCACATTTTATGAGCCACTCCTCAGTCCCACCGCACTCGTTTCAAGCCGATCCAACATCATCCATTTCCCGACGATCGAATAAATATAAAACCAGCCCTTGACGCAAACCACCTTCACCGCCGCAACACCACGTGGGCCAAACAATGGAGCCCTCTATTTATCGAATTAAATTGAAGCAAAATATCCATTAAATTTCAAGCACCCACAAAAGTGCTTACCGGATTGTCTCTGTGCGTTCTGTTGGTTCGTTTGTTTGTTTGTTTATTCGTTTGTTCGTATGCCAACTCCAACAGGATGACACACCCACGAGACAGACAGACAGACGCGCGTCCGTTCGTCGGTCCACCAGCGTCGGTGCGACAGCGGATCTCGGAAGCACTTTGGCGCAATTTACACCATTGTCGTTGGTGACAACACTCAGCGCCCTACCCTGCTCAATAGGTGCCGTTGATGTGCGTGGTTACGTTACGTCTTACTTCGAGATGGCATTCAAGATGTGACATTTATAAAGTGATGAATACCTTGAAAGTCCCCTTTTGCAGCTGTTTGGCTGAAGCGCGTTGACATCCAGGGAGGTCCTTATTGGTCCTTGATGAGGTCAATTTTTGTGCAGTTTCTCGTTGAACGGCTGGCAGATTTTGAATTTTAAATCAGAACAATGCTCTTGCTTTCCGGAAGGGCAAGTATGGTTTTAGCAGACATTGAACTGTCCTTATTGTTATCAGCGTGATAGAAACTCAAAATGTCCTTTTTTGTATGCTTTAGAAAATGGTAATACAAACAGCTGGAGGCTTTCGTGAAGACGAAACATCTGTGTTTGAATACAGTGCGGTCAATGTCATTCATGGGCTCAAACAATTTCTTAATTATGTTTTGCAGGCTCATTAAGAGGAAGAAGATCTTAGACTCTACTTAGATGAATAACCACCACCAACTAACAAGTAACTGTTACAATCCACGTTTAGCAACAGCTGACGCGCCGAAGCATCTAGCACTCGCATCTCTGCTACCCTTACTAATTGAATCAAATCAAATTCATTGAAGATTAAAATCTCCTGATAGGCCTGAACGCACATTAATCCAACCGTGCGAGATTTCATTCATTTTTTTACCTCTGATCTGTTCCTTACTTTGCTAGATATGGGTACTTGCCAAAATTCCACTCTCCGAGCAACCTAGTCAGAACGAAATCCTGGATACAATATACGACTTTCTCGATGGCACAGGGGGAGGGTAAAAATCCTCCGAAACAAAGCAGAGATAGGATACAGTTTGTCTGTGTGTGTGTGTTTTTTTTTCTCCGATCCGGATGACCCTCATTGAGCTCTTGGCATTGGCGTCGACGTCCTCGTCGTCGTAGTCATCGGCGTTAGTCGTGTTAATAAAGCGTGAATGATTTCAACGATGATGATAGGAGCGATTATCTGGGTGCAGGAATAATTGTTCGCTTGCGAAAAAAAAAGTAGATAGCACTCGAATCAAATAGAACAGGAGGATACAGCGGGAAACAACAAAGCTCTATGAGTGGAATCGGATGCTCCGAACGAGAGGAACACAATAGGTGTAGGGGAATGGAATAGAGAAGAGCTCTCCGTGTGTGCGCCGCACCCAGGGCCAATCATGTGGGAAAGCTAATTACCGATGAGAGGCACTTGAATTATGATACAGAACCTGAATTTGCTGCAAGTGGTTTTCAACGGTCTGGCATATGTAACAAACGAAACAATTACCGACAAGTAGGCCGTTGGTATCCACCGAAAAATGTCAGAATATCCTGTCGTGTCCCATTTCCGTTCCACTGATTTGATTCAGCCGTTAAAGGATGAACAACCGGACACGGTACATTTCAAGGGGTCGTTCAAGCCTCGTCGCTTCAAGTCCAACCCGGATCTGGTGGCTTTGAAGGCCGTTGAGCAGAACCGCTTCGATCGGATTCCATCGCCTCCGGTTTGCGGTCCGGAAGTGATGTTGATGCACCGAAAGTTGAACAAAATCAATCCGCGGCTTCGTAGAGTCGGTAAGTACGAGGCTTTAAATCACGGAAAAAATTGATAAACTGACTGAGAGCTTTCAGAAAATACCTGCCTGTTCGTCCGGCCACGCTCGTTGGATGGCAAAGATTGCAATGCCAAAGGAGCGGCTAAAAGTCAACCGATTAATGAAACCGCTGAGATAGAGCGACTTTGCCAGGGATTCTCCAGTCAAATGTCGGTGATGAAGTAAAATTAGCATTAGTTGCTATGATCAAATCTGTCCGGAAACCGAGCCATGCTTCATACATTTCTAGTCAACCATGACTGATTGAGGTACTCATGTAAAACACTGACTATCAATGCTATTTGAGGGAAATGCTGGCGAAATTATACGAACATTGCTTTTAATATTTCTCACGTAGCATGTCAAAGGGGCGTATCCTTATTAATCGATTCACTTCATGGAATTAATCTTTGGCTTACAATAAACACACACGCCTACAACTGTAGGATAATGTATGCAGGTTAAGTGGATCGAAAGCATTGTAATGCATTTTCAGCAACAATATTACTGAAAGGAGAAAATCTATGAAAAGATACAAAAATCAGATGCAGTCCATCTCTTCGTTGGGGTTCATTTGAATTTTTCATTCGATAATCAAAATCCATAAGACTACAAGTGCATTCCATTTTGCTTCAATTAATATTGTTATTAAGTTTAACGATTATTTTGTCAATAGTATTTCATTGACTAACTAACCCATTGAGATGGTCGATGAACCTGACGAAATAATACAGTCGATTAATTGAAGATTTTACACAATTACATTAGACGAACTTAGAGATATTTGATTTTCATTAGGGAAATCAGATTGAGTAGATAATTAAGCCTACCAAGGTAACAATTTAATACTTTGTGTTTATTCCACTTCTCGCGCGAATCGAGATGACCATTCTCGTTTCCTTCTCGCGTGACAATTCTCACTCTATTCCGACTGTCGACTCGCACGACGCGAGATGTTCATTTTGCATCGAGAGGAAGGATGAATCGCACGCGAAGTGCTGTTCATTTCAAGAAACATCAAACTGAAAGAGTTCATCGCGGAAGCTATGATAAGGACGTATGCAGTATTTTCTGATAAAACAGTAATTTGATTTTGGTATAAATATTAGTTTTTTCAATAAATAAAATCATAGATATGGATAAAAACAATAGAGCACACGTTTTTATATCATTTGAGAATTATAGCTTAAAGTTCTAAGTAACTTTCTGTGCCATTTCGATAGCACCACCGGTTATGTAATTTGGTCCTTTTTTGAGAGAAGTTTGTTGTTTTTAATTCGAAGATCTGTTTTTTGTGATCAACCAATCGTAGTCAAACCCGGTGTTTAGTGGAAAGTTTTTCCGACTGGTTGAGTTTTCTGCTTTTTTTGGCTTTCTTGACCTGGAGAAAGAAATTGAAAATCCGCGATACAGCGGGATTGGAGCCGAGAAGCCAAGATCGAAACCGCTCAACGGTATTCGACTCTCGAAAAGGGAAGCTAAGCGTTGCGACGGGATAAGTGCCTATGAATGATACAATGAATAAAATAATCTCAGACGAAACACCTTAAATTAACCTGGAGTATTTTTGAAGTCCATATTGCCTTCTTTCTTGTTTGTTGAATTTTTTATTTTTCTAATTCATCACTAGGTTTTATCAATGATCCACTTCTTCACCTAAGTGTGCAGCTCATCCAGAATGTTTTCACTTGTTTTTATAATGGCACCGCCAACATCTGAAATATTCACCGCGCGAACCTCAAGTCCTTCGACGAACAATCTCTTCCCGGCGGGGATTTAAGTCAGCGTGTTTTAAATCGCAGCCCGAGTCTCCCCTCCTGCCGTTGAGTCCACGCAATGTGGACCAATCTCATCGACCAGGAGAAGAAGGGTATAGCCATCGCCAACAACTCGACTTCCGATAGGAAGCCGGTTTTACCCTTCTTACAGATAAGGGTATTCATATCAAGTGCCAGGTGATAGGTATTGTAGTCCTCCTATCGAACGCTAATGAATATCTTAGGAATTCCGAGATCCGGAGATAAAACAATATCTGACAAAATTTGAATTATTCGTACAAAACCGCATATCTCCTAAACAAAACAGTTGCCAAACGAAAGGTATTTAAATCCCACAGTACTTTAGCTGGGATTATCTGAAGTTGGATCAGACATTCTTGAGTTATGACCGCGAATGATTTGGAAATGCCTGGTTATGGGTACAAAACATCATATATTATCAACAACTGAACCGTGTTTGACAAAACAACCGCCAAACGAATGGAATTGAAGTCCCACTGTACTCTATTTAAAAATATTTGGAGTTAGTTCAGAAGTTCTGAAGTTATGACCTGAATAAAGTCTGGGTTTGTTAGTTCATTGGTACAAAATCACATATCTTCTCAACTACCGAACCAAATTTGACAAAACAACCGCATCCTTTCGTTAGGCAGTATCTTAGCTGGGAATATCTGGAATTGGTACAAAACAAGATATTTTCTCAACAACTAAACTAAAATTGACAAAACAATTGCCAAACGAAAGGTATTGATACTCTACAGTACCTGAACAACTGTAACAAATTGGACAAAACAACTGCCAAACGAAAGGTCCTGGGACCTTATAATTTTTTTTCTTGAATGTCATAAGAAATTGACTGGTGTCGAAGTTATCATCAGAACCACTGATCCAAATTTGACATACCAACCACCAATCGAAAGGTTTTGGAGTCCAACAAATCTCTAATTAAGAAAATCTGAGATTGGTTCACACTATCTGAAGTTATAAGTTATAAACGTTTTTTTTTAATATTAACGATGAATGATATCTGACATAAGAGTCGTTCAGAATATTCTCACTACGGAGCGCTAGAATACATGTGAAATTCCCGCATGTGATATATACGTGCAATTATCGCATATACAATAGCTCGAGATCCTGAGCAGATAGAAAGCTACTGTTTTCGGCAAACTTGTTCATTGGGTCAAGACTTTTTGGCTGGTGCACAGTAGCCCAGAATTTTCTCACCACGTGGCGCTAGTAAACTTGTACAATTCTCACGTATGCTATAGCTCGTGATTCTGAACAGGTAGAAAATTACTGTCTTCGAAAAAGTTGTTCATGAAGTCAATGTCTATTGCTTGGTGCACAATAGTTCAGAATTTTCACACTAAGTGGCGTTAGTATACACGCAAAATTCTAGCATGTAAAATATCTCGAGATTCTGTTCAGATAGATTTCGCTAGTGGACAGTAGTTCAAAATTTTCTCACTATGTAGCGCTAGAATACACGTGAAATTCTCGCATGTGGTTTGTTTCGAGATCCTGACCAGATAGAAAGTTTCTATCTTCGCAAAGTTGAGAATTTCCTAAGCGGCGCTAGTATACACGTGAAATTTTCACATGTAAAATATCACGAGATCCTGACCTATGTTCGGCAAAGTTGTTCAGGGAGCCAAAGCCTTTTGGCTGGTGGACAGAAATTCATTTTGTATACACGTGCAATTCTCGCATTAGATATATTTCCAGACCTGCTAAACTGTCATCGGTAAAGTTGTCCAGGAGATCAAAACTTTTTCGTTGGTCGACAGTACAGAATTTTCTCACTATGCGGCGCTAGGATATACGTAAAATCTTCGCATATATAATATCTCGAGATCCTGAACAGCTAGAAATTTACTGTAGTTGGCAAAGCTGTTGAGGAGATAAAGATCTTTTGGCGGGCAATTCTCGCATATCAAATATCATAAAATAAAAATACAATTTACATCAGCCTAAGTAGGATAAGCCAAATATATTCTGGAATTCTTTTATTGGTGAAGATTTTCATGCAGATTTGTGGATACATAAATTGAGGTGAGTCGTTCCACTTGTATACCTTTGATAAATTAGTGGTAACACGTATCTCAGATAGAAAACATTATCTTAAAAGATCAATATCGTTGAAACTTCCACCAAATGAATGTTTAGAGTCTCCCTTTCATTTAAGGCTAATTTCAAAATGTCTTATTGAGGGGTCAGAACAAAAAAAAATCCTTGTATTAACGTGTCACGGACAACGAGACTAGCTCAGAGAGTGAGGCATTTTTGCTCAGTTGAATGGAGAAATTTATAAAACTGTACACTCCCGATCATAAGCGTAAGGACATGCCCTAAAAACGTCAAATGTTCGTTCTTTTTAGAACATTTTAAAGATTTTAAATGGAAATACGAAGGGGCAAATTGCTCAATATGATTTTCAAATTTTGTATACCAAAGCTTCACCCAAAGTTACACTATTTTTCGAAATTTACTCTTAAGAATAATGATTGATTTTCTCAGAATTGACTTGGAAAAAAAATTGAAACTAAAAGTAGTAGTAGAACCCTTATACCATTTATACCATTCAAATAACCTAAGGAGATCAAAAATTGGACGTAACATTAGAGAGCTTTGAACAAAACACATTTGCATGTTCACCATCCGGAAGAACTTTGCTGCATGTACAACTTTGACGATGACAGTTACTTCCTGACCTTATGCTATAGCATAAACAAATATTTTACATGCACACTAGCGCCGCATACCGAAAATATTCTGAACTATTTACTGTTTACCAGCAAAAAAGCTTTGATCTCATAAACAACTTTGTCGAAGACAGTAATTTTCTAGCTGTTCTGGATCTCGAGCTGTAGCATATATGAGGATTGCACGTGTATACTAGCACAGCGCAGTGAGAAAATTCTGAACTACTGTTCACCAGCCAAAAAACCTTGACCTCCTGAACAACTTTGCCGAGGACAGTAACTTTCTATTTGGTCAGGATCTCGAGATATGTTATACGTGAAAATTTCACGTGTATACTAGCGTCGCGTAGTGAGAAAATTCTCAAAAATTGTGCCCAAAAAATAGGCTTTAACCTCCTGAACAACTTTGTTCAAGGCAATAACTTTCTATCTGGTCAGGATCTCGATATATTCTATGTTGTAATCAATGAAGTCAAATCTCACGTTGTATGGCCACAGTTTACGCGGTTTCCATTTACATTTTCCCTATTATCCTTATTTTAGGTGTTTACTGTATTCAAAGTTTAGCTTCTTTAAATCAAAACAAGTTTTTTGAGGAATACTCGTTGGTTTCAGAACGATTGGTAACTCAGCAACAGAATGGCAATGGAAAACTCATGTGTGTTGTACAAAGTGCAACAGGGCGAGTAACGGAGGGTTAAGAA